TCTTATATACGAGAGCACTGCTGCCACTTCTGAAGCTAGGGACTTCTTTCTGTCGATACCTTTACTTTAGAGAATGAATAGGGGCGAAGCGGTTGAATTGGCTTCCAAATCGATATTTCCTCTGCCTCTTATCTTTTATTTATATTTAAGGCACTCGAAGCATATTGGAAAGTTTCCAGTAGAGCGGGAAGGAGGCTTAGTCAAAGACTTTCAAGAGCTTGTTGGAGGCAATTTTTCAAAGGAAAGGGAAGAGCCCGGCAAAGTCCGAAAAAAGAGATTGAATACCCGGAATTCGCCGAGAAACCCCTCCCTTTGAAGTAATTCAATCTTTTCAGCCAGAGGTTCCAAGTCCGTAAGCTACTCTGATTGAACTCGACATCAGTGATTTCGAGCGTTACTGAAAAGCAAGGGCATTTTTGAAAAGACCCTACTACTAAACTAAGGTTCTTTTGAAGATTCCTTTGGTGGTCACCGGTGGGTTAACGATAGAAATCTGTCTTGGTGTTCATCACCTGGTTAAACAGGTAGTAAAGTTAGGCCGTCGATTAGGGAGGGTGGCTGTATGTTGCACTTTACTGTAAACAAGCATCAACATGCTTTATGCACTATTCTTCTTCTACTCACCCTAAGAGGTTGACCGAACTATCTGTTCCCATCTCTCTCACAAGGACGGGACTCCCAAGGATCATTCCCCTGTTTCACCGTAAGGTGATCCGTAGGCGTGATGATCGAGCAGATATAGTAGTCAAGTTGTATCTTTCTTTACTATAGCAAACATTTTTTAATTGGCTAAGAAAGTGGATAGATCAACTTTCTCTTCTATCTCTACTCCCCCTTCTAATGTGAAGGCCTTGGCTACCGATGCTGCGAATTCTTATTTTTTTTGAAGAATTACTGCATCGGTATGTTCCGTCTATCTCTAGTATTCCTTTGCTACAAGGAATGACTTGGGATCCGATCCGACCTGGAAGGCCACACCATCTAAGATGAAGCCTATCCGATTGAAGGGCTCTCGTCATAAGAAAGGAGTTCCATCTGTCTTCTGAGCCTTCCCCTTTGAAATCCATTCAAGGTTTCAACTTGCTGAGTCTCGGAATCAGTTCCGTGGGCTTCAACAAGCTAATTGGTTAGGCGCGTTGTGGTTTCCTTGGATGAGGTCTTGTTTTGACCCTAACAACGAACTCATCTCGCAGATAGGTTGTTCTGCATTTGAGGAAGCTGTTAGAGTCGGACATCCTTGTCCAGAGTTTGCTGAGGTTATGCCCAGCCTCGGCCGACTAGGTCAGTCTATAGAGGGTGGGGGGAAGCGTAGGATATTTCCCATAGGTAACTGGGTTATCCCGCGTGTTTTACATCCCCTTCATAAGTGGTGTATGACGGTTCTGTCGACACTCCGGGACTTTAAACCAAACCGCTCCGGTGGAACGGTTGGCAGGCTCATCTATAACGTATTCTGTAGATCTTAAGGAAAGCAGACGGGGATACAATCAATAAGCTTCCTGCCTGGTATCAGATTGGATGCACTAGCCAGGCTATCTCATAGTCTGGTACTCACTGCCAGTAGACTGAATCAGGTAGACAGTCAGCTCTCTTATAGCCGGTTACTGCGGAAGAGAGTGCTAGTCTAACTGCCGGTACGGGTATGCTAATAGATAGAGGATCCGCCAGTCCTAGAATCAGAAAGTAGCTTGTCTGTCGGACTGGCTGCTTCATTGAATGTGTCGATCTTATTCTATATAAGGAGTTGATTTGCATCCTTGTCTGGCAGTTAGCTAAGCGAGAAGCTGTGATCGAGGAAGCCCCGCCCGGTAGTGCCTCTACTCTACTAGTCCTAGTACTAGATACTAGATAGACAAGCCGATCACGGGTGGCATAAGATCCTTCTCTTCTTGTCTAACTCAAGCCAGATAGCAGCAATCACTCGAAATAGTCATATGCGGAACACATGCAAGTCCAGATTTAAAGATAAGAGAGCCAAGTCTATCTCTTTAGACCAAAAGGAAATGTTGGGGGGACAGGTCTCTAGGGAATAAATGCCAGACAGAGGTCTAACCTAACCGTTTGTTTCATGCAGTGAAGCGGGCTAGAGCCAGGAGTACGGGATTGTTTGAAGGCCTTTCCGGTCCGGTTTCAGCCAACTATATATAGTGTCAAGGAATATAATTTCTTTTGGGCAAGTAAAGTCAAAAGAAAGGGCAATATTCCAAAAAGTAGTTCCTGACTCCAATCAGTCAACTACGGGCGGTAAAAGAGCTGGTAGTGAATCTTCGGCGCAAGCTGTAGGAGTAGGACTAGTTTAGGTTTAGGCGAGGGAAGAAGCAACGGCTAACGAGATAGGGGCGACAAAGCGAGGGGATTGAGCCTTTCTCCTAGCGCAAGAGTTTTCGTCGCTGGATTAAGACGACTTAGCTACTTGTCTGAAAGCGGAAAAGGAAGCTGACTAACTTCATTCGGTAAAGCTAGATAGCAACCGGAAGAGGCCTGAATAAGCAAAAAAAAAGGGGAAGTCATTGGATTATTCGCTTTGATAGGATTGTCTCCTTATGTGGTACTCGACCGGCTAGACTTCTATTACTTTTTTTTTAGTTTCTAATCGTGTTAAGCATTTCCTATAGCTGGCGAGAAGGGATCGCTTATTAACGAACCTGGCTGGCGAAATTCTAAAGAGGGATCACAAATTGCCCTATTTGTGGGACAGATGGGGAGGAAGTTTTGCCATGCTTTGAAAGATTGTAGTTGGGCAAGATTTGTTTGGTCTGTTAGGCCAGAGATCTGGTCGCACTTCATTTCAGCCCCCTTCCTCAATAGATTTATTAAAATATCCATGGTGCTGGTATGCATACAGTGTCGGAGCTTGAATGGCCTCTCATTTCATTTTTGAAGTAGCAATTCACCAACTCTGGGCATGGCGCCATTCAATCTTGTAAACTCATTGACACCACAATTGGAAAAAGAGATACGAACGGAGAGGAATAACCAATCGATGAAAGAACATGAAACCATTCTGTTTCAATAGAGGTACGAGATACGGTTGGGGGCAATGAAGTAGGTGAAGTGGTTGGATTTTGCGAGCTGTTCCAACCACTGCTGGATGTGATTCCAAGAGCCAAACGAGAATGAATACCACACAGAAGAGTAAAGACCAGGCTCCCTAATAGAATATTTAACCGATCCATTCCGGATCGACCGAATTGGTACGGAAGTTGTAACATGGGAAAACCACATAAAACACAACTTATTTGAATAACCCGGTGACCTACCAATTGTAGAAGTAGGATCTTTGGCAAGCAAAAAGCACTTAAATAATACAATTCGAGTGTACCATCTTCTTTATCATTTCGAGGAAAAGATGCGGGAGGAAAAGAAAACAACGAAGGGATCCGAATCGGACCTAAATGGGAATGACATGAAAAGTCTTTTTCAAAACCTAGTATTAAGGGCGTTACGACGATATACGAGAGGAATGGAGAAAAACTCGTGATTGGTGTGGAGGGGAAGATATTTTTATTATATAGTTCAAGAAAGAGTCGTCTCATTTCCTTACATTAGCCATGGAAGATAAATAAAAGTCAATATCTGTGAAACATGAGCTTATGATATAGCTACACCTAATTCCGAGAGAAGATAGGAAAAAGACAGAGGAGTACGCGAAACTGCCATTCTATGCTCAACCTTCTGACCACGAACAACTAAGACAGATAAATAGAGGACTTGAACCTGTAATGTGTACTTAAGGGCTAGATAGACAGATGCCTCTTCCTATCTTCCTTCTTGACTGGACCAAAAGATGGATAGATCTAATACGTTAATTGTTTTGATCACAGGTAGCGAAACCAAGAAAGAAAGGATTCGCGAGTGGTGCCTCTTTCCTTTCTATTTTTTGAAATTTCTTCGCCAATACCTTTTTTATAGCTTTCCTTTAGCTGCTACTTTTTTCCCAATCCACGCCCAATCAGAGTAGTAAGTGTGCCTGCTCCGTCCTTCTTTGATGAAATGGATGCTTTAGGGGAAGGAGGGACATCACTAAAGATGGTCTGTCTGCGCGCCTGGAAGGGAAGGCTTCCGTGCAGGTAGTTCAAGGCTGAGGTCAAGCTATGGGCGCAAGGAGGTCTAGTAAGTTCCTTCTTCGTCTTTTGCTTGTCATTGGGCAGGCGATGCCTTCTTCAATGAGATAATTTATCTTTAGCAAGAAGCAAGCCCTCTTCAAGCTGTCGAATATAGATTGAAGAGGGTGATCGTAGATCAGGGGAATCAAATCCCATTGCTCCAACCAACACATTTATATAAGCTAAACCTAATGTTTTGCCGGATGACAAGACGAGAAAGAAAGGCTAGCAGATCCTTTCTTAGGAGGGAGTCTCTATTTTCTTTTCCTAGCTTCCTCAAAAGCATGATGTAGCGACTTACTATTAATTAATAATGCGAGCTAGCATTTGGGGCTCTGTGATTTCCTATTTTAGGTCATTTCTGTTGGGTTCTGAACGAAGAGAGGCACAGGTTAGGTGCTATTGATGGAACATGGTAAGCCTATCTTTCTCCATATGGAAGTGTTGCGGGCACATAGAGATGTGGGTAGAGGAAGTCTCAAAAAGAGAAGGCCGAGCTGTAGGTCACGTGACCTGCACCGAGTTGGTGGCTGACTGGGCTTTTTCCTTGATCAAAGCAGATCAGCTCGCCGCCTTCTTGTTATCAAAAAGTCGGCCGAATCGGGCGGAACGTCGAATGAAATAGGTAGCCGGGTTCTCTTTTTACAACCCTTTTGCCCCCCCTATCCCTTATGTTTAGGAGCGGGATCCGCCCAAGAACGACCAGTCCTATGGTGGTACGGAAGGCACGAACTCCGTGAACGTCCCGTGCCCCCAAGACTAATAAAGGAAAGAAAGCCTCAACCAGAACCACATTCCTTTTGCGTGCGGATTTAGCTAAGTGTCTGACTGGTTATAGTTCCCTGCTGTTGCGGCCAGTGCTCGTTTGCACGCAACCCAACAAACAAGGAAAGGATGCCTCTCGGGGCATCTGAGAATGATTCGAGCCGTATGAAGGGAAACTCTCACGTACAATTTGTCTTTTTTTTTGGGGGGGGGGGGGGGGGGGGGAGGAGCCCGACAGGGTCCCCCCACTGACTTGGCCCAGGCCTAAGTGAAAGTGAAGTGGTGGGCCTACCCATCCCAACCAGGGGTATGCTGGGATTCGCGAAGAGCAGCACCTTACGATGTTCATGACCAATCGGATCCTGACGTACCAGTAGGTACTAGAGGAGATCGCTATGATCGTTACTGTATCCGTATTGAAGAGATGCGACAAATTCTGCGGATAATTTTCCAATGTCCTAATAAAATGCCTAGTGGCATGATCAAAGCTGATGATCGTAAGTTATGTCCTCCATCACGATGTCGAATGAAACTATCCATGGAATCGTGCGTCGTGTGAAACGTAGATCATCGCCGTTCTTAACCGAGACTCAGGTTAAGCTCCGTCTCGGAACCTAGTGGGGTTAGGAGTAAAGCATCCCGAGGTTACTGGGACTCACTCTCTGGGACCTTTCTCCATTTTCACTCTCTTTGTTCCCAACCGGTTTTGGAATGCTAGGGACATCAATCCCTTGAGATGTAGAAGGACTGGTCTTTTCCTATTTTAGGAAGGTAGAAGGCGCTGCCCTATACGTGCCTGCTCGCTTGAGCGACTCTCAGTCATTGTAAATAGATAGAAAGAGCACGAAAGTATACTGTCTTACTGGATCTGCTCTATGGAAATGGAATTGAAATCCTCTTAGTCCGATTCCTTACGAAGAAAGTCCGACTCTATCTGCTCAATAGCGAAGGGATTTGGGCAAAAGGTGTACGACTTAGTAGGAGAGGTTCTGAAAGAGTGAAGGTAGTACATCTTTATTTTCCTTTTGATTGAGCCTTTTATAAGTCCGAGCTTTCCTTTCAATTCGTGTAGCGAGGTCCTCTTCTTGCTTTTGTCTCCTAGCATTCTACTGGATAGCTCCTACCCTTCCTTTATCCTCCTTGCGCTATGAATTGGCTTTCTTGTTATTAATGGACAGACAAACTTTTGACCCAGACGTGGGTGGGGTGGGCTTTTTTCTAAGGAAAAAGTATGACCTTAATCTAATTTCTCGGGTATCTAGCTTACGGAAGACAAGGTCTTGACGTTCTATAGATGAACTAGCATAACAGACATGCTTGAATTTATAAAGACAACTCTGAATCACTCGTTTAATACAAAGCAACTTTCGCCCTATCCTGACCTGACGGAAAGGGAACTTATGAAGAAGACTGACCTGTGCTCTTCCTGTAATCTGACCTTACAATAGCTTTCTTAAAGCTTTTGGCTTATTGATCTCCAACTGTATTTGTATTCGTATCTGGTAATTCTCTTTCTAGTGGGTCAAGATATTCAAGGCTAATCCACTCTTCCTTGAAACTTGGAAATCGCCCTTTATTAAAATGAAAACTTTTTTTACTTATAAATGAGTTGCTTCTCGACTCGACTGACTCACACTCCTCTCCTATCTTTTTAAGAGCTGCCATGGGCATTTATTTACCTTGGATGCTATAAGAATGGGCTGGCTCTTGCCCCATTCAAAAGGATGAAAATGGACAAATCCATTAAGAGTATCATTTGTCACTTCTCTTGATTTCCCACCCACCTACCTATCATCTATAAGTCTCCTGAAGCTCCCCCGCTTGGTAGCTAATCCCGCTCGTTGGTATCTGTGAGTCTAGATCTTAGCTTATCTTATACTCTCTATACTTCGCATTTCCTTGAGCCTTTCTACTTATAGACCGGGACTGCTATTTGTTTCATACCTGAAATGAAAGAAAAGGCAAGCAAGTCAGGGATTCCTCGAGCTGCTATCTCGATACCGATCCTTGAAACCCTGAATTAAGGGCACTGCTTAGGTAAGAAAGAAGCGCTGATCCACTTATACTCGCTAGGGGTTACTCTATCACACGCATCCTAGCTTATCTCACTTCTTCCTTGAAGGTCCCACAGACTGTTCGAATCCTTAGCCTGTCCTTGATTAGCTTCCTATCACCTACGCCTCCTCCCAGGAAGTCACTATTCTTTCCTTTCTCCTGGCTCCTGAAGCTTTTGCATTTTTCAAAGGCCTTCACTCGATCTTCATTCTACTATAAGAACTCGAACCTGAGTCCATTACTATTCTAGTCGAGTTCGTTTATTCGTTTTTTCATAACTCACACTTCGTACCTGAACATGAATAGGCAGCGCTCTTTTTCCCGACGTAAGCCCAGGCTTGCTATCATCCAGTTGTGGCTTTTCCCCCCTTCATTCTCAAGTGCTATAGCTTGTTCGCTAAATTCCTTCCCGATACCCCTTCATCACGTCTTGGGCAACCAAAACCCTAGCCTTGAAAGATTTTTTAACTTCCCCGGACGAATGGATTAAATCTCTTTTCAGGTTCAGTGAGGACATTCCTTACTATCCTAGCTGCGGTTCCTTTTCATATCCCGCTTTGAAGCAACTACACTCGCTCGTTAGCCTGTCTGGCTCTCGACCTGCTTCAGTATCTAAAACACTTTTTTTTACTCTTGCATTCGCTATACTTCGTTCTGCTACCTTCCGATGTACTACCAAACCGACAACTAACCTTGCTTTTCTACCTTATCAGTAACAGCTATATTCAGAGACTTTACCTGAAGAAAACGGAGACCTAGAACTACTAGGATTCCTAGCTTCCAGCTTTATCAAATGGCTTTCCCTCCCTCAAAAGGCGACCAGCTTTCAATACTGTTACGTTACGCTGCCATTTTTCCAATATCATTGAATAGCATGGCCTGCCTGGGGCTAAGGTCACTCAAGTGGGAGAGCCGTGTTATGGGTGACCTTATTGCACGGTTCAGAGAGTACTTGTGTATGTGATGCAAGTGAACGTGTACGAAAAAGCTGTATCTAGGGTGAGTTCTTCGTTCCGTCGTCGACCCTATCTATGTTTCTACGATGGCCCAAGAACACGCTCATTCTTCAGCCGTAGAGAGACTTTTGAATTGCGAGGTACCATTACGAGCTCAATATATACGAGTGTTATTCCGTGAAATAACTCGAATTTCAAATCATTCACTTGCTTTAACTACTCATGCTATGGATGTGGGAGCATCAACTCTGTCCCTGTGGGCTTTTGAGGAGCGGGAGAAATTGTTGGAATTCTATGAAAGAGTCTCGGGAGCCAGGATGCATGCCAGTTTCATACGACCAGGTGGAGTGGCACAAGATCTGCCTCTTGGCTTATGTCGAGATATTGATTCCTTCACACAACAATTTGCTTCTCGTATCGACGAATTAGAAGAGATGTCAACCGGCAACCGTATCTGGAAACAACGATTAGTGGATATTGGTACTGTCACTGCACAGCAAGCAAAGGATTGGGGATTCAGTGGTGTAATGTTAAGAGGTTGTGCGACATGAAGACATTGATAGCAATATGGGGGGAGTTCCCATCAGGCAACAACGGTTCTGCCTGACCCTAATTAAGCATGCATATTCTTTCAGTGAAGACTTGGTGTGAAGCCTTGGAGCTTACGTTAGAAGAGCAAAAGGCCCGGGGCTAGGGTGAGCTGAGGGGGGACAGCGTAAGTGAGCGAATGTGTGTAAGCCCAGTCAAACATGACTGTTTTAGGCGGGGCGGGCCACCCACCTTCGAATGGTGTTGGTCCTACGGACCGTGAATGGATTCGCCTCTGGCCTCGGGGCACGTCGGAATCGCATGAGTTCACCGGGGTGGAGCACAGTCCGCCAAAATCGGCATAGGTTAGGTGCTATTGATGGAACATGGTAAGCCTATCTTTCTCCATATGGAAGTGCTGCGGGCACATAGAGATGTGGGTAGAGGAAGTCTCAAAAAGCGAAGGCCGAGCTATAGATCACGTGACCTGCACCGAGTTGGTGGCTGACAGGGCTTTTTCCTTGATCAAAGCAGATCAGCTCGCCGCCTTCTTGTTATCAAAAAGTCGGTCGAATCGGGCGGAACGTCGAATGAAATAGGTAGCCGGGTTCTCTTTTTACAACCCTTTTGCCCCCCTATCCTTTATGTTTAGGAGCGGGATCCGCCCAAGAACGACCAATCCTGTGGTGGTACGGAAGGCACAGACTCCGCGAACGTCCCGCGCCCCCAAGACTAATAAAGGAAAGAAAGCCTCAACCAGAACCACATTCCTTTTGCGTGCGGATTTAGCTAAGTGTCTGACTGGTCATAGTTCCCTGCTGTTGCGGCCAGTGCTCGTTTGCGTGCAACCCAACAAACAAGGAAAGGATGCCTCTCGGGGCATCTGAGAATGATTCGAGCCGTATGAAGGGAAACTCTCACGTACAGTTTGTCTTTTTTTTTGGGGGGGGGGGGGGGGGGGGAGGAGCCCGACAGGGTCCCCCCACTGACTTGGCCCAGGCCTAAGTGAAAGTGAAGTGGTGGGCCTACCCATCCCAACCAGGGGTATGCTGGGATTCGCGAAGAGCAGCACCTTACGATGTTCATGACCAATCGGATCCTGACGTACCAGTAGGTACCAGAGGAGATCGCTATGATCGTTACTGTATCCGTATTGAAGAGATGTGACAAAGTCTGCGGATAATTTTCCAATGTCCTAATAAAATGCCTAGTGGCATGATCAAAGCCGATGATCGTAAGTTATGTCCTCCATCACGATGTCGAATGAAACTATCCATGGAATCGTGCCCCGTGTGAAACGTAGATCATCGTCGTTCTTAACCGAGACTCAGGTTAAGCTCCGTCTCGGAACCTAGTGGGGTTAGGAGTAAAGCATCCCGAGGTTGGCGCATCTCGTTGGGCGTGGAGAAGCATTGGGAATCTCCATTTCTTTCTTCGGAGCCGTTTCTTTTCCCGTCCCCCCGCCCCGGCATAGCGCTTCGCTTCCGGTTCTTCGGAAGAATCAACTGACTTCTCCCTTCTTCATTGATCTGGGGGAAAAGGAACCGTCTACCATTTGGCAAGCTAGACATCAAGTAAGTGGCTTGATGAGGATAACTAAGCTGACATGCCGGAGTTGGCTGCTGGCACAACAGGGTGGTGCCTTACCGTACCGCAGGAGAACGCGCGGTAGCGTTCGTGGTGGTGCTTCAGGATTCCAATGTACTGCGTCCAAGATCAGAACGAGCTTGCCGACGGACCACTGCCGTCCCATTCTTGAGTGAGCTGGAGCGCAACCATCTTATCCACTGAACTAGCTAGAAGCTATCGCTTCGGGTCGAAGCACTAAAAGAAAAGGACCGGGAAACGCGGCGGCATAGGAACCACGAGACCCCCTACTAGTAAAGGGAAAACGGAAGTGCGCGTTAGCGCACCAGCTGAAAAAGCCCATTCCCCTGACTCTAACTTCACCCCTCTCCAACCAGTCGAGTGGCATTAGCCCCTCTCCCAGCAAGAGGATGCGCGAACCTCCAAGTCAAGCGCGCTAGCGCGCTTTACCAAGGCTTTCTCTGATAGGGGCTTGAACGCTGTTGCTTGTTTGGGTCGAGCGTCAACCTTAGCGCATCCGTTTTCTTGCTCCTTAGCACAAGCACTAAGTAAGCCCGTGAAGGAAAGGCCTTTTCATACATCATAATAAGGTAAGCTTCATAGCTCCAACCTAGACAAGGCCTTTTTTTTTTACCTTTTTTTAGATTGGGTTGCTGGATACGGGATCCTCGTAGTAGGCTGGACCAACATCCAGCCGAGAGAGGGCAGCCTTTAGAAGCAACAAGTTGGGAAACCAATAGAACGCTTCGCGTTTTCTTATCTTATTCCCGCCCTAGGAGTAGCACAAAAAGAGGGATTAGCATTATTGACCCAATGATAAACCACTAACACCCTCCTCGTTGGGTCTCCCCGCACTGGGAAAAGGCTCTAGCGATGGCAAAGCGGCCACTACTAACAAAGCTCCAATAAGGTATCGATCGAGAGGGCTATCACAGTCAGGTGCGAAGCAATTACCCCTTTTTGTAAAGTACCCCTCTTCCTATTTAGTTTAGGGGGTTGAGGCGAGAAATGGCTTGATGAACCGTTCCGTTCGCCATGCACCGGCCCCATTCACTTGCTTATCGTAGAGGCTGTAAGTACACAGTGCCCCACAACAATTAAAAGTATAGTGATAGTGGGGTTGAAACACAAGAGTGCTCGCCCTTTCTTTCATTTCAAGTAGGCCACTTTTTCCGGAACGCAGTCCGGGATAACCGTGACCGTATAATAATATATAAATCTTCGATGCTGTCATTTCGAAATGTCCACTTCAACCGCAGCGCAGTTTAACCTCCCAAAAAGAAAAGTTGGCTTGACGAGCGCAGATGCGAGGAAGCGGGAGCAATTAAACAAAAAATATCTTTCTTGTCCTTCTACTTAAGGGGCAAAGAGAAGCGCTTTTGCTACTGAGAAAGCGAACGCGCGAAGGTTCAAGACTTAGCCGAGCGTTAGCGAAGCTAGATTCTCATAGCGAGGCGCTACTACAGCGCTTCACTAACTCAAAGCGCCGTAGTAGTGCCGAATCCCTATGTGCTATAATGCTGAGCCAAGGACGCTCCGCCTTATCTATATAAGCAGTCAACTGAGTTCTGAACGAATTAGCTCCTTGGTAATGGCTCAATCTATAGATAGAAAGCCTTATGATGGGAAACTATCACGTTAGGTTTGGAGATTTGAAGAAAGGCTTGTTATCGACAAATAAGCTCCTTAGACTTTGCCCTAAAAGCTCATCCTAAGGAAATTCGTTTTCACTCGGGACTTCTTTCTATGCTAGCATGCTTCTACTTCTATTCTTGATCTGGATTCTTAAACCTTTATTCTAAGATAAGATGCCAGTCTATAAATCCGTACTTGTTGACTAAAAGACTTTCGGCCGGCGGATTTAGAATCAATCAATCCCATCCGTCTATTAGTTCAAGCGTATTCTCTAACAGCGGATTCTTGCTAACAGAAAGATAACCGCCTATTCTATCAAGCAGTCAATTCAATAACAGATGATTTGCTGCAAAGAGACGATTCGGTGCGCATTTCATGCTACTCCACGGTGGCTAGCTTTCCTGCTTCTGTGCTTGCTATTAATTCCTAGATGCGCGTAATCGTCTTCTGAGGAGATATCTTTTCTTTATGTGTTATAATACAAAAAAAGGTGAATTCTACTTAAGAAGAAGTCTTATTTTTATAAATACACAAACCCTTATTTGTTAAATGAATGAATTATCAAACACTTAATTGAATAAGTTCAGGGCTAACAGTCTTAATAAAGCCAATAATCGCCCCTGATTCGGATGTTACGATAAATCTGTCCTCTGATTCTGATGCCGCAGAAGAGAAGGGAAACCCTGACCGAAGGTAGCACATAAGACGATGTGTAAAGCGTATAGCCAGCCGATGTAATCGAATCCTTCTGTTCCTAAGGGAAGGGGCTTACTCATATATATAATATAAAAAAGAAAGTTTGCACTTAATCTATTAAGGCCAATCTTCTGATCTTCAACTATTCTCACCCCTCGGAGTCTAAAAAAAAATATGTGTATCTTGCTATTGGTATCAATCGGTCCTCTCTTTCCTTTTGGTGGCGCATGCTTAGATTACCCTTATTCTTCATCTTCTCTACCCTTCGGTTGCTTAGGGCGCCCAGAGGGATTCGCCTCTAGGAGAATAGTTATTGATCACATAGCTTGGGTACTAGAAGTTGCTGATCGCATCATTCGGGCAGAGCCTGGGTCCCTTAGTATTATGTATAGCGCAGCTCCCTCTTTCTTTTGCTAGTTTTGTTTCGATCGATGAAGGAAACCCTTCTCTTACTGGAGCGCGCAGATTCGTTTTCATATTTAACTGGGATCGGTCCTAAGGCGCGTGCTTCAATATTGTCTTGATTGGCAGTCGCTCTTCTGTATTTTAAATCTTCAGAGATACCCTCAGAGTTATGTCCTGAATGGGAGGGTTTTTGAGTCAAGTCAAGAAGAAGAAAAAGACAGTCCCACAAAGGAATCTTGGACAATGGGCACAAGTCTTTATTAAAGAATTAGTATCTCCATTATAATAAGCATTTCTATCAGCTCTGCTCTTTTGTCTCCTGAATATCATCTCGAGACCCAAACTACGAGATCCGGATTGGAACCAACGCATATTGATTCAAAGCTTATGGCCCTTCAATACAACCCCCCCTGTATAAAACCTTAAGTGAGCGGTGCGAGTCTACAATCGCTTGGCTGACTCGCTAGCCCTTATGGAATAAATACTCAGCCGCTCTAGTACACATGCTAGTACACCGAAGCACAGAGTCGCTTGTCATTGAGAGATTGGACATCCCAGCCACAGCACAGAGAGCCCTTCCGTCGAACGGGACTCATTCATCTTCTTGGATGAAGACTATCGAGAGTTGGAACATGATGAACTATCACCAGTCAAGATTACGAGGATGATGGGAACCTTGGTATTATGATTTCTACAATTACCTCAAGGACGGGTTCATATCAGAGTACGCCACTCGTGGTCAGAGGAGAGCCTGAAGGAGAACTTGCCCGACGATTTGTGATCTTGGGAGATGTCCTTTACAAAAGGTCCTTCAAGGGGTACTCGCCCTTCCTTATACTTAATAGGAAGAAGGAGCGCACATTGTTGAACAAGCTCATTCAAGAGGCAAGGCCCCCCTATAAAAAGCGTACCTTCGAAGGCATGATTGCTGCGATCAGGAGCTGCTTAACATAATTGAGAATAGGAGATCAGAAGATTTTGTGGAGGATAAAGTCCAAAGTGAACCAACACTGGGATCTGATCATAGCCGTTGTGAGGATGCAAAGGCGGTAGTTTTTCGATTCGGCAAACATGAGATGTGTCCCACACTTTAAGAAGTACATCGAATGTTTTAGATATCCCGTAATGTCCTTTTTGTACCTAGAGAAGGACGACCTCGAGAGAGCAGACGATCGGTAGAGTAGGTGCTCCATATCGTTCCTGCTGCGTAGGTCTAAGGTAATTAACAGTGCTAGCAGAGAATCAGTAGGCCCTCACCCTTCTCTAATAGGGGCAGTGCCACCTATAGAACGGGAATGTTCATCCTCTCTTAAAGTCCTTTAGGGATTTAGAGTCGGGAATAGAGCTGTGGCAAGCAATATAGATCGCCCCTTACGCTCTCTCTAAAAAAAGCCCTTCTTAGTAAAGCTTCGGCCCTATGGAGAAAAGGGAAGTGCAGATCTGGAGTGTTTGGACGAGAAAGAAAGGCTTTGCAGCAAGCTGAGTTATACCACAATTTTATTTTCCGGGCATACGAGAAAAGAGTCCAGCCGAGCATATTTGTTTGCTAGTTTCTTGATCCCGGAAATCTTGTACTCAGAGTCACGGATAAAGTTGACTACCCAGCGACGGAGTGGATGACCCCCCGTTCTTTCTAGTGGGTTTTATCCCGTCCCTTTTGGGACCATTCACCCTTTTCCAAGCATAGGTAGAACCCCTCTTTCCCATACACAACGACGGTTCCAAGCAAGATGAGTAGTTTATAGTCGACTCAATATCAACGAAACCCCCCCATTTTATCTTTTTAGTACCGATGGTCTTGTAGTGCACCCTTCATCGAAAGAGTAGGCGGTTGAAAGACCCAC